CAACTGTACTCTGAAGATGATGGCTTATGATTCACAGTGCTGCAAAAGCTTCCGAAGCTCGCTCTTTTGGCCTCTAGTAAGGTTCTCATGCATATATGCAAGGTCAGTATTGCAGTATCCTGAAGGCATGGTCCACCAGCGGCTGTTCAGGCTGGATTCATCCCACAATCTGTGACCCACCCAAAGAATGCAGCCACCAAGAAACTAAATAAGCTGACTCTCCAAGAAAGCAAGGGAAATGCCAGCACCATTTTTACCCCTCGGTGCCTTTCAGAAAGGATCTGGTGCTCCCCCTTTCCTAAGAAAGGGAGCAATCCTACTATATTGAACTTCCCATTCTTTGTCATCCTTATGATTAAGCCACAAGTCACTACCCAGACTTAGACTAAGTCTGCAGGAGAAACAGGGTAGGAATAGGGGTATAGCACCAAGTTCCTCCATTTCCTTGGGATGGTATGTGAAAAGCCACTGGAAGCCTCAGGAACACTGACCAGCCTTACAGCTCTTGCACATTCCTGACAGGAGCAATGCTTCACACAGGAATTTAATGGTTCATCTTTCTACTTCAAACTGTCAAGGACAGGTCCCATACAGAGGCACTACTATTACAGCTGTGTGCAAGATTCTGAAAAGCATCCCGATTTTCTGAAGCCTCTACTCACCCTCCCTGTTAAGATAAGCCCTGAAGCAGTGCTGTGCTACCCCGAACATAGTTCAGGACAAGAGATCCTTTGAGCACAACTTGTCAATACCCTCTTCTTCATCCCCAAGGAGAAGTGCCCAGCTTGCCCTCTCAGCTGCTATGGGGGCAGAGGTAGTCAAGAGGATGCCTACCTGCAAAGACAGGGCGATCTACCAGTTGGATTACAATGCTTACAAATACCACAGTTGCATCGCAGGGTTGTCCCTGCTCTGTGGCTGCTGTATGAAAGCAGTGCTAGTGAATCAGAAGAGGAGACGGCATAATGAAAGATGACAGTTTGATATTAAGCCCCCATGATTCCCACTCACTTTGAGTGGCTTCTGACGCGCTGCTCACAGAAGAATCTTATGACAGGACAAGAAGCCCAAGGTATATTTGCCTAAAGTGCTGAGCGATTGCTGCATAGTAAGTCCCTATGTGGAAGCCATTAACTGCAGAATCTGAAAGCATCTGGTTCAAGGATACAGCTGTTTCAGTCAGATAATGCTGTCTTGTATTGTCTACCCAAACTGTTATACAAGTTTCTTCAGTCTTCACTTATCTGTCCTAAAGCTTAAGTTGTATCTACATGTCTGTGGGTAAATAGTTATGATAATAGTACTCATTACCAAGACGACGCTGATCTTACGCTCCATTTAACTATTGATATAGCATACTTGAAGGCACACCTGTTGAATAAATTCAGAAGGTGTTATGTGACTAGTTACAGGATAATTCTCTAACATCTCAACACTACTACTATTCAACTAAAGATGTCTATGCCTTCTAGTCTGAAACCTGTTCATGGTCACCCTCCTCTATCCTCCCCTCCATTTCACAGCCCAATGCAACAAGCCAAACACAAACTTTGTCATCTCAAGGATTTTAATAGCACTGGCCAATTGAGAATAATAAAAACAAGTAGAAATTAAGTAATAGTAAAGGCAAAAATATCAAGATAACATAGGAAGTATTCATTCATGCTAATTAAATGAGGTAGCAAGCTGACTAACTTATGGGGCTGAATTTTTATTTTTAATAATTTCTTAACAGCAGAGAATAATTTTTGCAGATTCATTAAGAAAGCTGCTTTCAGATGAAGTATGTAAGCAGAACGGAAGGAAAAAGATAACCATCAGGGAGCTTTGAAGCCAATATTTGCTTTTTACTTGGACTGACACCAGATTAAGGTAATTCTGCTTAAATTCAGTGTTCAAACAAGTAGAATGCTCCTCTGCTGAAGATGGGTTGTATTGCTGTAACTTAGGAAAAACCTGCCCCAGGCATCTGAGTACATCAATAATTTATGTGGCTGAACATGGAATGTAGGCAAGACAACCAAAGAATCAAAAGTAAAGGTCTGCCAGTGGATCAGTTTATAGCTGCTAGTCCACTGTCATTAATTACATGATAGACACCTGCAGAACTATCTGGCTTCCCAACAGATGCAGTTTAGACTGTATCAGTGCCCATTGATCCCAACCAGGACTGGGGGATTATTGTTGCAGTCAGCTCTATTTTTGGGCTCAACCCAAATCCTACCAAATTCACTTAGAACTTCTCTTTTGACTTCAATGCCAGTTAGAGCAAGCATTTAACTGGGCAAAGAATTACCCCAAAAGAAAACGAAGAATCAATGAGACCAAAATTCCTGATCGCTGTCCATAACTGGACTTAAGTAAAAAGATGGTCTATTTCTTTTGCTTTCATATCACTTGAAACATTTAAAGTGCAGTTCAGGAACATTTCTGGAAGCAGAAGTCTGCAGTTTGAAGGTAACTTTTCCACTTAAAAGATGATTCCTTATTAAAAACAGGACTGTACCATCTTCAGTAACAAAAAAAATTGCTATAAAAATAGAGATTTGAAAATAGACTGAATTCACATGTACCAGGTACCATTTCTAGTGTAAAATTGGTTTTTAGTTTATGAAAAATATTTTTCCTTAAAAAAAGCATAGGCTTACAGTTATTATCCCTAAGAAGGTCCACAGAATCCCTTTAGTACCTATTCAACATTATACTCTAGGCTTTTTGACAGGTGGGTCCTGCAGGCTGAATTTAGGAATTTCACACGAAGAAGCAAAAGGAATTCTTTTGGCTGACACCTTCTTCCCAATTGTTTCAATCTGAAAGAGAAAGCACATTTAGGAAGTGTGACAAACTAACACAATCATGTCAGCCTATGAGGAATCTACAAACTAAATCCAGAACCGTGAACACATTTCGTGAACACTAGAATAATACAAGCCACAAAGCACAGTGTGCCCAGGGACACACCAGTGCCCTGGTGAGGCCGCATCTGGAGTACTACGTCCAGTTCTGGGCTCCCCAGTTCAAGAAGGACAGGGAACTGCTGGAGAGGGTCCAGCAAAGGGCTCCAAAGATGATTAGGGGATTAGAACATCTCTCATATGAGAAAAGGCTGAGGGACTTGGGTCTCTTAGTCCAGAGAAAAGAAGATTGAGGGAGGATCTTATTAACGCTTACAAATACTTAAAGGGACGGTGCCAGGGGGATGGGAGCAGTGTTTTTTAAGCGGTGCCCAGTGATAGCACGAGGGGTAACGGGCACAAGGCTTGAACATAGGAAGTTCCCTCTAAATATTAGGATGAACTTCTTTACTTTGAGGGGGGCTGAGCACTGGCACAGGCTGCACAGAGAGGTTGTGGAGTCTCCCTCTCTGGAGACATTCAAAACCCGCCTGGACACTGTCCTGTGCAACCTGCTGTAGGTGACCCTGCTCTGGCAGGGGGGTTGGACTAGATGATCTCCAGAGGTCCCTTCCAACCCTGACCATTCTGTGATTCTGTAATTTCTGAGATTAGAACTGCAAAGAGTTTTTAAAAACGTCTTTTCACAGGTGCCTACTTTGCATACGTAAAGCTGCATCTTGCTAATATAAACATTTATGTGCCTCAGCTTCCATAGGACTGTCAGTGCAAACATTGTAAGATGTTTCTGGGTATTCAGAAACAGTGGGTTTGGCCTCCTTTGTCTAAAGATTTATACTGAGTAAGTTAGGATAGAAGAAGCTTTTCCCCCTCCTTAATGCAGTGGGATGTTTTTGAAACAGACTCTGAAAGGCTAAAAGCAGCCAAGTCTATACAAAAGAAAGGATGTAACAAAGCTGACACACATATAAGCCAGATACTGCAAAATTCAAACAGCAAGACAGGCTCCTCTAATTTTTAGGTCAGACTAATGTAAATCACTAAGGACAGAACTTGTAGAAGGCAAAACACCAGCTACTAAAATAGTTCAGATGCCCAGTAAGTGAGGATAGCTGTAGCTTTCCTCTTAAGCACTACAGGTAAGATGCAAAGCACCAGAAGACAAAATGCTGAAGTTCAAACTGTCTTAAGTAATAAATTTAAGAGAAAATTTAATGGATATGTTCTAGACACACATCTGTTTAAACAGCTCTTTTCAGAGTGTGCTTACGTAAGCAAGCAGTTACATTAGTTATATGTACCATATTTGCCCATAACAGTTTCAATTGATTGGTTAAAGCAATTTCTACAAGCCTGCTCACAAACAGTGCGATAACCATGTGTAGTTTAAGCAGGGGAAAAATAGCAAGAGAAAGTCTATGGCCATTATGCAAGTAATCACAGTACTCAGGAGTACACAGAATGAAACACACCAAAATGTGCATCCGATTTGGCTTGTGGACTTTGTTCTGATTCTGCCTGGCTGAGATGCTTCATCAGATTATTCAGGTGATTTTAGTCAAATTCTATCTATGCTAGAAGTGCTTCAAGGCACGCTTACGCTGCTGAATGTTGATGGCATAGGCTGACATGGCTTGGATTTTAACAGAACATCGGTCTACGAAAACAGGAAGGTACTGTAGGAGGAGAGTACTAGTGAAGAGACTTAAGTACAGATGGTTTTAAATTTAAATCCTCACCTGGAAGGTTTTTTTTCCCCCTTGCTACTCAGTCATTGCAGAGCAAAAGCAAGAGGGAACAGAGCGCAGAAGGAAAAGAACATAGGAAGCTGGATCACGCAGCTGATTACCTGGAAGCCAATGACTTGTAGCTCATTGTGAAGATCATCTAGAACTCTTCTACCATCAAAGATAAATGCAGGCTTCAGCATCTTCTTATGAATACGTTCATAATCCAACTCCTGTAAAGGGCAATTAAAGCAGACAGAAAAGATAAATAGCATAACACTCCCTCTTTTTATTTTAGTTTAATTTGAAAATAACATTTTTACCTTAAACATGTCCCATTCAGTGCAAATTACAAGGGCATGAGCTCCATCACAGGCTTCATATGGATCTGCACTTATAGTGACCAACCGAGACACTGTAACAGAAAGAAAATAAAGTTTTATTCTGCACACATCTTTAGCATCAATCTAGTGCACTCGTGGTAAACTAGTCTCCTTCCTTGCCCTGTGCAAATAAGGAGAGTTTCAGGTCACTTATCTAGAGATGTTTTCCGTCAAGACATTTGTCACTTTGATTTCACTTATTTAAATGAAAGCAGCTTGTACCTGGCATGTGAATGGAGTCAGGGCACTTAAATGTTTGAAGTTAAGCATTCAAATTTGATTTAAACAGTTAAGAGCATCTCTAGAATTCAAAGTTACTATGGAGTGTTCAAATGCCAACTCTCACAAAGGTCATTGCCTGTACAATAGCAGCACATCACAGTCCCTATTTAAAACTCAGTTCACACTAGCGAGGATACACGTCTCACTTCATCCTTTGACTGGCTCAGCAGCTGCCTAAAGGCAACCCTCCCATTTCCCTCTAATTCAAGGCCATGTCAAATAACATACACCCCTCGCTCTTCTTCATCACAGCTCATTCCTCCATTGTCTTCACCTCTAGAAGTCTGATCTACCCTTCTCCCCCACCCATCTCTCATCTCCATTCTCCCCTTCCCCAATAAGGAAAGAAAACAAAGATCCCAGATACCACCTGCTTCTCCCAAATAAATTTCTAGTCGTTGACGATTACTTCAAAGTCTTCCTGAATTTAAGGAAACAGATGAATTTGGAAGTGATATGGGGGAAGGGAGAATGCTCTACAGTGAATTCCAGAATTATTTCTTTATTTCTACTTCACATATGAAAAAAAGAACTAAGGCAAGATAGGACTCGGGACACAAAGGAGCTGACAGAACAACACTAGTCGTTCCCACCTCTAGATATCCTTCTTTCTTGTCCTTTTAATTATACAGAGAGAAAATTGTTTGCATGTATTCAAATGCATATTTATTAAAAGAAAGATACAATAGTACAGAATTACCATTTATCTACAAAAACTATGGGGAAAGGGGGAAGAGTTACAGTAATCCTCTGACTTCTAGACAATTGTCTAGTAAATGCAGCCAACAGCACATCATTGCCATGGTGAAAATGAGAAAATGAATTCATAGTATTTAAGACCTTGTGTATTTTGAGAATAGGGTGGGGTTCTTCTTTGGGGGGGGTGTGGGGGGAAATAGGCTTTACATGAGCATTCTTACCTTGGTTATCTTCTGAAACACCAGGATGTGAGAGATCCAAGATTATTTGTTCCTTAGGTACTTTAGGATCATAGATATGGAGCTTTGCTCCTTCGTCCATTAAATACTTGCTAATGTAGATACTGGATGACTCTCTAGGGAAGAGAATCAATCAGTTAGAGAAGCAGATGGCATGTTCTAAGTAATAAGAGCCTCCAAGTGTCATGATATACCATGCCAGAGCTTTTATACCCGCTTTACATTAAACATCTTAGTGGTAACCCATGCCAGCAGCAAACTTGAAATCTTGAGGGATGCCAAGGAAAGTAATATGAAAAACAAGTTTACTTCTCTCTTGCTGAATCATGCAAGACAGATACTAAGCCCCAGGACTCCTATAGACCATAATTAACAAGGCATCAATCTTATAAGCATTCCCCATAAACTGCAGTTGGAGAGAGCTGTATAAAGTTTGAGCTTTACAGGAACACAGAATTAATCACCTTTGGGAAACAAAGATGAAACTTTGGCTTCACATAGCAATTTAGAATCAGTCACAAAAGCGTTTGTGTTCTTCTCTGTGGAAAATGGAAGAATTCTCAAAACCTACCTTTGCTTATGCAACTTAATAAGGAGTGAATCAATGCCCCAAGCCCGTCAGTGTTTCAGATGCCCTTAATAACATGCTTTAACTTTTGGTCAGCCCTGAAGGGATCAGGCAGTTCCAGCTGGAAATATTGTATTCTAGTAGAGTTAGCTGCTCTAGCAGCTGTTGTTGTAGAGGTCAAGATCAATTGTCTGCCCCATTTAAGAAAGACTAATCCTTGTTACAAATCAATTCAGTCACAAGAGGTTAAGTGTCCCATACCTGATCTGTTTTTATTAACAAAATTGAATTGGGAGGTTTAGCTGCATAGCTGGTGAAAAGTATAGGGAATCCACATTAGTGAACTGAATTTACTTTCTTACCTTGTGTCCCCAGTATCCTTTTTGAATGCAAACCCTAAAATAGCAATCTTCTTATCAGTGACAGTATTGAACAAGCTGTCAATAATGCGGGAAGCAAACCTTCTTCTCTGATAATCATTCATGTCTATTACCTGAAATTACATAAAACACGATGGCACAGAAGGGAACCATTTTAAACAGTCAGGCCAAGCTACCCACACATAAGTTTAACAGAGGCTTAAAAAAAAAAAAGGAAAGCTAAGTATTTTTACACAGTACCATAAGTAATCCAAAGATAAATTCAGTTAATTTATCAGATTCCGAGACAAATCCTATTACAATCAATAACTGTAGATGCATATACACACATACTTGATATCACATAGACATCTTATTGCCAGACCTATACTTCCTTACATGCCACATGTAACAAGAGTGAAAATATGTTTAGCCATTTGATGCAAACTAACAGACCTCAGTGCACAAATCTAGTGTGATTAAACCAGATTTTTAAGTGCTCCACTTCTGTTATTACATGAAGGCAGGTTCACTCACTCCGATTGTTCCTGTACTTTCCTCCCAGCCTGGTTCCTACTTTGATCTCCAGCCCTTAACACACACCGGGCACTGGATCACCAGTAGAACAGGAAAGGTAGATTCTCCCACCTCAGTGTTCAATGTGGACTGGAAAAGAACTATACTTCCCTCTGTTTTGAGACTTTCAACCCAAATCAAGAATTAACAGCAGCAGCCTATGAAACATAAGGTATAAACTATACAGTAGAAGGATATTGGTGAACCAAGTTTATTTGAGGAAAAGAAATAAAAGCAGTGAGATATATGCAATTCAACGGGGTGGTGATGAGGAACAAAGGTAACAGTTGACAGGGCAAGAGGGACACATTTCTTTCTGTAGGTATGTTTAATTCTGAAATCTTCATTACCTGAAAAGAGCTCTGTCCTGTCTAAACACCAGAGCAAATAAAAGTTAGGATTCTGGGGCTGCTCTGATCAGCATAACCTCCAGAATTTACATCCTGTCCTCAGACTGCTCCGAGGTCTCCCATGTGCATGCACTGGGACAAGCCACTGACAGTGCAGTGCTCAGGCCACAAAGAAGGGATTCACAGTTGCTTACAGAGGTGCACATGTATGTGGCATTACATGACTTGACCAGTGTGGGCTGGGGCAGGCAGACCTCTGCAAGATGACAGTGAGGAAGCAGGAGGTGCAGGTAAGGAGTTGCACTACACAAATATAGAACTCTTTACCTTATCCTAGCTCTGCAGTGCCTGTTCTTACTATCCAATTTGTCCGCAGCTTAATAAGTGATATAGAAACACTGCAAAGAGTTGCTCTTAAAACAGAGTAAGAGAGCATAAAAGCATTAAAAGTGGTTTAAACTAGCTTGTTTACATGAACAATGCAAGCTTTTAGGCTTTTGTTAAGTAAAAAAAAAAAAAAAAAAAAACAAACACACACATCCACATAGAGCAAAGCTTAAGTGTTCCTATGTTTTTGGGTTGCCAAGATACCAAGTAGGTTGCATTTGGAGAAGGACCCTTGCAATCTCAAAGGATAGAGTCAAACCAATTTGTCTCTTTCAAGACAAACTTTTGCCTATTCATCAGATTATCACTGAGGTACATGATTAGTTCCTGCAGCTCCTCCTGCTTCAGGGATTGCCTATAGTCTGCTTACATCTTACATTGATTAAAAGCAGTAGTTCTTGAAGTAAATATCAGAACCTAGGGCTCCTTCCCTTTCCTGCTGTGCCAATACAGCCAAGCCCTACACTGAACCAATCCTCTCCTGGATGCTTGCACAAGGTTCATGCAGCTTAGTCTCATCTTCACTGATGCAACTGCAAGCCTCTCACCACGGACTAGACTATCCTAGTGAAGTGCACTTTTAAAGGAAGATGTCAACCTGAACCTCTTCAGAGGTAGGCAGCATAAACCCCATGCCTTCCTTGTCCCAAAAGCAATTGATGTAAGAGTTATAGTTGCAAGCAAGTAACTAGGCTGCTGACTAGCCCCTGGCTGGAGGCTAAACTATCTGAACAGGATGTAGAAAGCCACTGGACATCACAGATAATGTAAGCAGCTGACTAGAGTCACAGATAGCACTGTGAGCAATGACTGAGTTTTACAAGCAGTTATGGAGGAGATCTTAATAAGATACAGCCAAGCTTCAGATAATTGGAAGGAAATATTAGGGACCTTTTGGGGAATAGAACCTTGCAAAGCCAACAGAGCCTAGATAATTCCATCAACAATATCACGTGGCCACAACAGCCTAGGTAATGGTACAAGAAATACTGAACTTCGGTATGGATGTGACAACTGACCAATGATGAAAAAGTAATTATGGGTAGGTGGTTTATTTGGCAGTAGACCGGGATGAAGAGTTAGGGGGTAAAAAGACTAGCCAAAAGGAAGGTTGGAGAAAAGGAAAGCTGCTAATAATAAGGTGGGCAAACCATGCACTTGGTATTCTCAGGGCATCTGCTAGGCAGCCTTGTACTTGGTCACCATAGCCTAAATCAGGACAATAAACCAAAACCGTTCTTTTGATCATACCACATAGGTCAAAGCTGCTTTCTCAGTCAGGACTAGGAAGAGGTGCTTTCACTGGTTAACAGGGAAACACTTAAACACTTGCTAATACAGACCAAGCATCCTGGTACAGCTGCATTGGTGCTAGGCCTGATAGCATCCACATCTTCCAGACCATTCCTAACATTAAAATAAACATGGTTGCTGCTGTTCCCTGGTTAAAGAATAGCAAGTTCTGCTGAGTTCTTTCAGAAAAGGAACTCTGAGGAAGAGATCATAAGCTCTGAATTCAAAGTGGACAGAGATAACTAAGTGCAAAAGGAAGACAGAAGTCCAGACATGCTTGTACTTCACATTTTCTACTGTTACTTCTAGACAACTTCCCAATCCATTTGATCCAGACAACTTAATTTAACCCAAAGAAGCCTAAGCACCCACAAGTATCAAATGCCAGTGTTAGGCTGAGCGCCCTAAAGTGTAAAGATGATCAGCATTAAGGTATCTGCTCCCTAAAGCTGAAACACAAATTATATGTGGACAATGCTCAAAAGCTTAATGCCCGAAAGCTGAATGTTGAAGAAACAACAAAAAAAAATTTTTTTTAAATTTAAAATTTAATTAAAAATTAGTGAAGAGCTTGTACCTGTTGCCAGTAGCGGGCTACTTCAGGTAAGTTCAGTGCCTCACAGAGGTACACTAAATTCAAGACATCCTTCTGAAAACAGCTACCACCAAACCCTGAAAGAGAAAATGGTTATTTTACAGGTGACTAAGGTACTATTCTAACCCAATCTTTAGAATCAAGTAGTTTTTGGCAGTCATTGCCATAGTCAGCATTATATCTTTTCCCAGTATTTCACTGCAAGCAAATGAAAACCTTAATCTCTCAAAATCTAATTCCTAGACCTACTTACTCTGTAAGTTACAGAAGCCCTAGAATCTGCTTCAGGTCCCACTGAAGTCAATGGAAGTTTTAACCCCATCTCAGGAAAACATACAAGATAGTAAAAAAAAAAATTAGAGGCTATTAGAAGCCAGTGGCCAAGTTCCTGGGTTTGCTCCCCCCCACCTAGAGATTTAAATGAATAGTTCTCAAAATAAGTATGTTAAGATTAGGTTCTCTCCTCCTCCTCCCTGAAATGGATATCTAAATCATTGCCAAAAACCAAAGATCACCACAGCTGACTAAGGGAGAACTGAGATAATTCATAGAAGGATCCTTGGCTGCTAGAACTTTGCTCAGGATCCCAGAAGCAACGCACTGCAGAAGGAATTATAGTAACCTAATAGGAATTTTTGTAATGTATTTGCTATCTGCTTTTTACTCTTGCATAGACTCTAGGAGAGGTTATATTTAATAAATTATTTTAAAAGTTACACTTTCTATTCCTAGCATGAAGACTAGCCATACAGACAGGCTTTGGTTTTGTTCTGTAATTTTGAAAGTTTGTTGTACTGATCACCACTTTATCACATCTTACTCTCTAGTAAATCTAAACAACTGAATTCATCCTACTAGTTAGAAGCTCTCATCACACATTCTGACTTAGCAGCATCCCTTTCCTCAGGACACTGGCAGCAACTCCTGAACAAAATTGCAGCAGTTACAATTGGGAAGACATATTAAAGAGCTCTATCATGAGTAATGCTTCAGAAACATAAAGTTGCAATTTTTCTTTCCAGTGTCCAGGAAGGATAAACCATGCACTCTGAAGTCTCAGGTTTCAGATTGCCAGGGTCTAGAGCAACGTCAGTCCTAGACATTTTACCAGAAAAATGGATTTATGCTAGTACTCTACAGTAATATTTTTTTTACACACTCATGCTGTAAAATATTTTAGAGTATCAGATCACTTCAAAATACTACTAGACCCATTGCAGTATTAAACAGAAGTCCAGAAGAAAAAAGAAAAGGATTTTTCATTTACCAACACTGGCTTTGAGAAACTTATTTCCAATTCTTTGGTCTGTTCCAATAGCTCTTGCTACTTCTTCAACATCTGCTCCTGTAGCTTCACACAGAGCACTGATCGAGTTAATGCTGCTAATTCTTTGGGCAAGGAAAGCATTAGCTGCCTGTAAATAAAACACATAAAGAGAGCTTGATTCTTCCAGAAACCAAGATGCCCCCAGACAGAAGGGAGTTACTACTGGAAGCATTACTTTAGTATCTATGTAACTCTGTTGAGATACAAAATGGTAACATTTTTAATACATAAATGCCAGTTAATGGGATCTAAGCAAAATAATGTAGTGCTTAACTGGCAGAGTTTGAAATGTTTTATCACGGTAACCAGTAACTGGGGGTTTAAATAATAAATAACGCAGCAATAAGAGTGAGAAAAGGATTTCATGGAAAGCTGATACCATCTATTAGCTCAACTGAGATAACTGGAAAAGATGAATATCCTTTAACATTTACACTGGGTCCTCCCAGCCTCATCTGTCTTTCCTAACTGCGTCACTCAGTGTCAGTGAACTTACACTTCTGAGCTTTGTTTCACTTATGCCCTTTGCTCATTGCAGGCAACAGCATTGAGTAACACTAACCAGTTTAGAAAGTTCTGATGACCAGGTATTGGTTGTGAGGATTTTTTCTTTGGGCACCCAGTGCTCATAAACAGCACAAAGAGCACGGACGGCTTTCTGTCCCTCTGGAGAATCATCTCCCCCAATAAGCACTCTGTCTGGGTTCTTCAGGTCCTTGATGGCTGTTCCTTCTGCGAGGAACTCCGGGTTAGACAGCACCTACAGGCACAGAAATAAAGAACGACAGATACAAGCCAAAAGCAAGAACCAGCCTTTAAATACACCACTCAAAGACTATACTTACCTGCAAATCCAAGTTAGGCTTAGTATTAGCATCAAATATTCGACGAATGCTCTCCGCAGCACGTACTGGAACTGTGCTTTTCTCAGTGACAATTTTATAGCCATTTGAGTTTTGTACAATTCGCCTAGCACAAGCTTCAATGTATTTCAGATCAGCTGCTCGGCCTTTTCCCATGCCATAGGTCTTTGTCGGAGTGTTAACCTAGTTACAAATACACAGAGGGGGAAGAAATGTTACAGATCTCAACACAACAGCTACTGACAAGGTGAAATTGTTAAGAATGACAGACATTTTCTTTCCCAGAGTCCAGTTTGCTTCTACCCCAGAATTATTCTAGTTCCCATATCAAATGAACAGCTATTAGCTTTCTCAATTACCCTTTTTGTCTTCTAAAGAAAGCTCATTGGCCTCTATTCAAAGAGAATTTAAACGAGAGCAATTCATAGCAGCTCTGCAGGCTTCGGTGAAACTTAGTCCTTGTTCTGGAAACACCAGTAATTTCTTCATGATTACAGCCAGCCACCGTTTGCTTCCCACCCCACATTAGGAGTGCAAAAATTCACATTATAAGAATCTTGCAGCTAGTAAGGCAGTTTTGTTTAAACCCACTTTGCAGTGAAACCTAAGTGTAGAGTTGCTGAAAATTGCTATACTGAAGTACACAGAAAAGGCAACATGAGGGAAAACACGTCATTTAGATTAAGACAGAGGGTCCTTTTCATTACAAACTGAAAGAAGAAATGGCAACAACATGTAAAACACAACAGCATGTTTTAAGCCAAGGACAGGTGGCAATATACGGCTTGTATTAATGGCAGTCATCCAGCCAAGTAGCATTCATTTTAAACTTAATGAATGGAGAAAAATACTATCAGAAAGAGAGCTCTGTACTGAGGTGCCCTAACAAAGAGGAGCTCTCAAGGAAAGAGGGTGTAAGTAACAAAAATAACTCAACTGTGGCCTACCAAGATGAATAGCAATCAGTTCTTTTGGATTCTGCATTAGGAATAACCTTCTAGATTACAAAAGGTCACTCTGTTTATGTTTGACTGGATCCTCTTCCTAGTGGTGTCAACAGCTTAGAAACATTAAAGCTACAAAATCTTAAAGCCAGCCCCTCTTCCATTAATACAGTTTTTTTTAAAAGCTTGTAGAAATAAGTCATCTTTGTAACCACATAAACAGTATACAATTTCGCCTCCCTAAAAACCATATTAATATTATTGAAGTCCTATGGATTTCAGTAGTACACTGCAATGACAGATCTGCACTATATTCTGCTCTAAGACCGCACACACCTAACCAAGTTAAACATCAACATTATAATTTTGCCTTAGAGCTTGTTTGTCAAACATTCTATCGGCTATAAGAAAAAGATTAAAATAAAATAAAATCTTACTTAACACTTTTCCCACGGTACACAGAAAGACAAGAAAACTGTGACACAGTGACATGACATTGCTAACTGAATCTATATGACAAAACAAAGGCCTCTTCCTAACATAAGAGCAACATAATGATTGGAAGAAAGAAAAGAGAGAAAGGAGACAAACACACAACCACCTTTTCCCCCCTAAACTTACAGAAATAAATACAAGATCAGCTTCTCTAATGGCATCATCAATACTGGTGGAAAAGAAGAGGTTTCTTCCTCGACAGGACTCTACCACTTCTTTTAACCCCGGCTGAAAAAAGCAGAAAAAGCGGTTAAGGTTAAATACAGTTAGAACAGTAAACTGCATGCCCAAACAAACAGCATATCATTTCAGATGCAGAAAGACTTTTCTTTTTCCTCAGTGTGGTATGTTTTCAGCCTGCCAGATGTGAAGTAAGGCTTCTGTAGATTTACATAGTAAAAAAAAAAAAAGCCCTTTCTGCTTCAAAACATCCAAAATGCTGTCTTGAAACTTTCAGCCACACTGAATTGCTATTTGCACAACCAGATTTTAGGCTCCAGTTATTCCCATGCTCAATTCTATTACCATGAGCAACAATTAAAGAAATACCTATAGAGTGATGTTAAGTAGATTCAAGAGGTAAAGTCTTAAAATATTCCTTAGGCTGCAAACAAAAAAAGCAGAGTCAGGATGACCTCTTGCCGCAGCTATGCATTCCATGATCTCTCCCACATCGGATCTAAAACTGATTCAGCACCAAAAAAACCCCAACCATAAAGAAGTCTTCCACCAAATTAGCAAGCCCAGATGCAGTGAAAGAAAGGCAGTGGAGACAGAGACACATACTATGCCAGAACACTTTCCCTTCCTTTAACACCTCTACTCAGACAAGAGGAGAAGGAGGCCACATGTACATAAGTAATCCTCCGTATTAGAATGGTCTACAAAATGACTTAATTAAGGTATAGTTGTCATAGATAAAAAAAGCGCCTTTACTTTTTATTTGAAAAATAATGTAATACACTGTAACCTGGTAATCTGGTCTCCAACTTGAGAGACGCCTATCATGACATGACATATTTGAGTAAGTGCCAGAAAGGCAAAGGTTCACCAAAGGGAGAGAGAGAGGAAAACAAAGCAGAAGCTTTCTTATGCAAGACATTTTTGCTATCTCACTTTATACCAAATACCTACTTAAAAGGAACACAAAGGTCAGCACAGGCAGAATAATATGTATTACAACCTATCAAACGTTCCAACTATAGTCTTACTAGGATGCAAACAGAAAGGCGGCCCACTAGACAATTTCTGACACTGGAAAGAAAAAAAAAAACAAAACAAAAAATACAAAAACCTCACTGTGCCATGACTCAATTTTACAACTGTCTGAACTAATTCTTGGCAGTTTTTGTACATTCTTTGTAAGCAAAGGACACCATTCCAGGAAACAGATGTTATGAGTTTGGGTGGTTGGGTTTTTTTTTTTATAAAAAAAAACCCCCACACATGCCAAGGCTAGCTCTACTTTAACTCATTCAGTCTAAGTGTTTACAAAAAACAAAGTACTTGCTTTCATGACCTTTATTTATGTCTCACCTGCTAATCTGAGCATTATACACATTTTCCCTTGAATATGTATCACAAAGGAGGTCTATTCATCTTCACTTAAAGAGTCACATTATAGGTTTGGTTTTAAGAAGGGGAGAAAAAGCTACATTAGTCTTACAGCACAAGCAGGATTCAGAAGACTTCTTAAAGCAAAAGAGTAAGTCAGTACTACGCAACATGCCTTGTCTTCGGGAGCCAAGTAAAGATAAGTTTTTATTTCCACTAAAGAAAAGAGCTCAAACCTATAAATCTTGTGAGATATAGTTTTTATATTATTTTTAAAATATTTATATCTTTTTTCTTAACATTCTTCTGTGAGATATAAAGAATGAAGGAAAGAAAAAAGACACTTATTCTCTAAGGGGTAAAAAGTAACAAGTGCTAAGAGAAGCAAAATAGAAAAATACTTCATATATCTTCAAATTAAAGTAATTCTGTAATGAATGAGTCACAGTGTGACACATTTAAAAAAAAAAAATTATCCAGCCTAGTCTTCCCAAGCCAGATTGGAGGTTTATTGTACAAGTGAATCAGGAACACGACTGTCCCCATCTTACAACATGGTTAAGATGGGCAGTGCAGATTGGATTTTGGCAGTATTCAGAATGAGAATAAAACTTACTACTCAGTATTACACATGCATATTATGCTACAACACAGCAGATAATATCTACAACTGAGTAAGAGGACTATGCTGTGATTAAATTGGTTCCTGAAAGAAAGTAATCATAATTTAGCACAATTCACTATGTATACAATCACATTTTTCCTTACTAGGCATTTCATGTATAATCCTTAAATACCCGCCTGCACCAGACTTAATATTAAGTTATTTCAAAAATCTGGTTTAATGAGCAGTAGTGACAAGCAGCTGTTCCAGAATACTCTTTTTGAAGGACATCACCATGCTACACTTATCAAGCTCCAGAGGCAGGCCATGTGGAAATGCCATGTGGTGGGATGGAAGCAAATGCAACACTGGCTGGAAGAAGAGACAACAGTGAGACGTGCTTACCTCGTAGATTGGGAGCGTATCTGAATTCCAGGCATTTATTCTGGCCTCATTGACATCCACAACGGTAACTTTGATATTGGGGCACATCTGTGCAATAACACTACAGGTTGGCCCACCAACATAACCAGCACCAATGCAGCAAATCTTCTTAATTTCAAACATGATTGCTCTAGTGAGAGGAGGAGGGAAAAGGAGAGTCAGGAGTCATAAATGAAAACACTGGGCAACAATTTAAGGAAATCATAGAGAACTAATGATTTGAGATTCTATTATGCTGCCACAGAGAAAAACATTTGCATGCAGCTCATCTCTTGATATGAGCTGCAACCGCTCTCTCCCGCCCTCCAGGAGGGCCGGCACACACAGACCATTGAGGAAGCGTTTTCTGTGGTGGCTTTGAAGGCTGCCAGCGTAAATACCACCCCCTTAGCCCGAGGAACTGCTGATGCCACGATAGCCCTCGGGAAGGGCAGAGACCGCTACCGCAGGCGGCAGCGCCGGGAGAGGGGACCGCCGCAGCCCCACGGCGGGCAGAGCCCCGCCAGGCCGCGACCCCCGGGCCGGGCCCGGCCCCCGCCCTCTCCCCGCAGCCCCTC